ACACACACACACACACACACACACACACACACACACACACACACACACACACACACACACACACACATTCACGCACACACACACATCAGGGTCGCTCGGGTGCGGGATGTTGGCGCTTACGCTGCCGGCACTGATGCACATGTTTGCGCTTCGCCCGCTGCCCTGGTCGCACCTCGCAGTTGATCTCTTCATCGTCATCTTCGGCATCGTCGGTACGCGCTGTGTTGTGCTGTGCTCTGTCTGTGTGTGTGTGTGTGTGTGTGTGTGTGTGTGTGTGTGTGTGTGTGTGTGTGTGTGTGTGTGTGTGTGTGTGTGTTTTCAACTGGAAGCGTTCCTCACGGCTTTTCGGATTCTGTTCTCACGTTTCACCTTCGCATACACACATCCACACACGAACACAGGATCTGTGGCTGGCGTCTTCGTGTCCATTCAACAGCTCATCGCAGCATCCTGACACACACTCACACATACACAGATACACACACACAAACACACACATGCACATGCACTTCGCTGTACCTCGCCCCCCCCCTCCTCCCACACACACCACATTGCTTGGTAGGCTGTTGCTTTTGGCTTCATTTTTTTTGTTCATGTTTATTGCTTCAGGGTTTTGGTTCGTGTGTCTGCCACACACAAAAACAACTAGGCTCCTTTGCTTCTTGCCTTCTTAATCGAACAAAGAAAAGGCATCAATCCAAACCACCAGTAACCAACCGTGCTTCTTCTGCTCTTAAGTTCAACAAACGCTCTTGCACAGGACAATCGCAATTCAACTCAGTTGACTTCGTGATTGCCGAGCCAGCAACGCCGCCCGACAACACACACAAGTAGACACACATGCACACATGCACACATAACCACACACATACACACATGCAAACACACACACACACACACACACACACACACACACACACACACACACACACACACACACACAAGTAGACACACACATGCACACACGAGATCATGTTCACACTTCAAATTCGTGCGACGTGTCCTTCTTGGCGCCGCGCTGTCCACGAACATCACACGAACCCTTCTTCCCTCCCTCATCAGCATCACCGCAATCACCACCATCACGTGTGCTGCTTTCGTGGATAGACGTCAGTGGTTGCGATGTTCGTGCAGCGTCAAGCCGCGTGCTCATTGCAGACGTCAGCGCTTCACGACTCGGACGCCGTGGGCCGCGGCGCTGCTGCTGCTGCTGCTGCTGCTGGTGGTGGTGGTGGTGGTGGTGCTGCTGCTGGTTGGACTGGGCACGATGGAACACCGACGATGATGATGATGATGATGAGGAGGAGGAGGAGGATGCTGCTTGAGTCTGGCTGGCACGTGCAGCGTTGCTGTCGTTGTTGCTGCTGCTGTTGCGGGTGCTGCTTGCTTCAACGTCAACACAAGCACTGCCCTGTCTGTTTGGTCCATCATTGTCAGTGCTCTCACTCTCGCGTGACGACTGGTGATGAAGTTGAAGGTGTGCGCGTCGACTTCTGTTGCGCCGCTCAGACTCCAGGAAGCGATGGGACTCGCCGTCCAGCGAATGGCACCGCCGCTCACGCATGGCTTGGTCGTTCAGCAGCATTGACACCACGTCCTTGGTCGTGACAGCCGAGGTTGGAGCGGCTTTCGACGCACCGCTTGTGGGTGATGCCGTGGTGTTGGTGGCGTGCAACTCACGATCGCCATCGCCATCGCCATCGCCATCGCCATCACCAAGTTTATCTCTGTGGGGATGGCCACCAGTGTGCCTGCTACTGTGATGCTTCCTGGCTGCGTGGTAGCGTTCTTTCTTGCTCACGTGTCCTGTGCGACGTAGGCGGTTGCGGCTTGTACGAAGGGATGTGCGCTGAACGCCACCACCACTGCTGTTGTCTCCCGTGTTGTTGGTGTCGTCGTCGTCGTTGTTGTTGTCGTCGTCGCTTTTGTGGTCGGTGTAGCCCTCTTGCTTGCGTGCGTTGGTGACATTGCTGTTGTCATGCTCGCAGTCATCACCGCCAGTGCTGATACCGCCACCGCCAGCCATCTTGGCTTCATTCGTCACCACCACCACCTCTTGCACCTGCTCCTCCTGCCTCATGTTATCGTAGCACGGTTCCTCAGCCCCTTCAATGCCTTCACCTTCGATGCCTTCACCTTGATCATTGGTGTCACCACATCCACGGCCACCCTGCGGCGCTGTGAGGGCCATTGTGCTTGCAGCCTTTGCATGCACAGCCAGCATCTCGTTGTCAAAGCCGTAAGGCGACTCTTCATTTGTGGACTCGCTTTGTGTCGGCTGCGCTGGTGCTTGCGGCTTTAATGGCGATGGCGGCTGAGGTGCATCGGTGCATGCCCTGGCCTTTGGCGACATACCACCACCATCACCAGCAGCAACAGGGGCAGCAACAACAGGTGTCGTGGGCGACACCTGGGCGCTTGTGACAGGTCCGCCCACAACCGGGCTGCTCCTGGAACGGCGGCGGTTGCGCAACTGCTTCGACTCCTGCTTGCAGGCATCATCACCAGCACCACGACGAACGTTTGTGTGGCGGTTGCTGTTGCTGTCGTGCATGTGCTGGGCGGCGGAATCATCGGTATCTGTTGCAGCCTTGACACCAGCGACCACGTGATCAGCACCATCACTGACGCCGTCACCAAGCTGCACGCTTGGGCGCTGGCGCGGCGAGTGAGGCGACGACCAGCCACTGCCCGCTGTGCTGCTGGCGCTCGAGCCAACCGTGCCCATGAAATTGCTGTCGTCAAAGTAGAGGAAGTTGCCTCCGGACAGGCGACGAGCAGCGTGACCTGCCGCATCCATGCTGTGTATGTATGCACGACCATAACGGCTGCTGCGGCGCCGCTGCTTCGTCAAACCCCCGCCGACAGCCGCTGTTCTTGGCCCTTTAATGGACGACGACGCAAACGCGCGCGCCGCTGCCGCTGTCGGAGAACGGGAGGAGCCTGGACGGGAGCGTGCAAGCTCGTAGATGCCACTCGTGCGCGCCATCTCAATGCTGTCGTCGGCATCAGTGTCGCGGTTGCCTGCAGGCACGCTGTTGGACTCGGTGTCTGTGGGCACTTGTTCTCCAACCGTGACAGCAGCGCTCGAGGGGTCACTAGTGCTCTCCTCGCCACCACCATTGGTTTCGTCGTCGTCTTCACTGCAGCTTGGGTAGTCACCCTCACCCTCCTCCACGCTCGGAGGAGCAAGGTTGGTCGTGTCAACGGCAGGTGGCTCTTCAGAATCGAAGAACGACCAGCCACGCGATGGCGGCGTGACAACAACGTGCATCATTTCATCAGAGCGCATGCCCTTCTCTCTGCGCGTACGCTCCTCTGCTTGTGCGCGCTGCTGCTGTTGCTCGAGATGCGTGTAGAAGCTGCCAGCGGCAGAGCCAGCGCTCATGCCACGGCTCATCTGGCGCGCAGCCGTGCCAGCCGCGGTTGCTGTCTGGTCGTGATCCATGCCCTCACGCAGCTGCTTCCATGCACTTGATCCACCTGCCATGCTCATGTCAACGCGCTTCATACCGGTGCCACGCACGCTGCGGTGGGCGTCCGTGCTGCCAGGGGAAGTACGGCGATGGCTGCGGCTGTTGCCATGATGATGGTGGTGGTGATGATGGTGGTGGTGGTGGTGACGATGGCGGGCAGGACGGGCAAAGGCGCCTTCCTTCTCCTCGCCGTCAAAATCAGCACTGGCAAAGTCACGGCTGTATCGCTTCTGCCCACCATCGCGAAGACGCAGGTTGCTGCGAGGGCCAGGGCGACGGTGACCAGGCGATGTCTGTGGCGATGATGACAGCGGGGTCATGGCGCTGTGGTAGCTGCGCTTCAACTCCAAGTGCCCAGAGGCACTGCGCATGCCCATTCTGCCAGCGGTGGCGCCCTGTTGCGCTCGGAGACGCTTCCTCTGTCCAGCTGTTGTGGTGCTACGTGCCCCACCGTGGTTGCTGACACCACTGGCAGTCACCCCATGTGCGTTGGCGCCGACACCGCGCTGGTAGCTGTCACGCTGGCTGTGCAGCCACTTCCGTCGCTGCCGCTCGTGCTGCTGACGCTGCTGACGCTGGTGGTGGTTCTGATGCTGGTGCTGATGCTTGACGTTAAGGTCGCCTCGCCCATGGTGGCACTCGCCGTCATCGTCGTGGTAGTCGGAGAAGTCATCGTCATCATCATCGCAGTAGGCGCGGTCGCCGTTGCGCTGCGCCTCGTGACTCTCAATGAGGTGCGCAAGCATCGTGTCGTAGCCACGCCGGACAATGTCGTTGTTTGGGAGGGAGACAGCGCGGTTGCGAGTCTTGCCCTGGCTGAGCGTCTTGATCCACTGCCGCGTCTGCGTCTGCACGCGAATGACGTTGCGGGCGGCGTGCAGCAGCGCAGCCTTCTGCTTGATACTGTCCAGCTTCTTCTGCTCCGAGTGCAGCAGCAGCGTGCGCGTGTGCATCTGAAAGAGCTTGGAGGCGAAGCAGTAGCAGACGACAGTGGATGGCTCCCACGTCAGTACGTCGTGCGGAATGTCGTCGCCTCGCATCGCGTTGATCACGCCCGCGTCGACCAGGTCTTCAAGGACATCGGGCAGGTGTGGAATTTCCTCCTGGTACGGCATGATACGGCGCAGAATGCCTTCGGTGAAGTACTCGCATGTCGATGCCATCTTGACGACGAGGGAGTGGCGCACGTGGAACCGGTCCAGGAGTGACGACACGTAGCCCATCATCTTCTTTGGCGGCGGGATCTGGTGGTTGGGATGAGAGGGAGAGGAGGAGTGGAATGTGGGAATCGTGAGTGATTGGGGGGGGGGTGTGGTAGGAATGGATGAGAGGGGAGCAGGGGAAGGAAGAGAGGAGGAGAGGAGAGGAGAGATATTGAGTACACACACACACACAGACACAGACACAGACACACACACACACACACACACAGACACAGACACACACACAGATACAGCCACAGCCACAGACACAGACACAGACACACACACACACAAAATCACGCGACAAATTGGTCTCACCGTTGCGATGTCAGGGTGGGTGATGTGCACACGACCGTCCGAGTCAAGTGTGACTGCGTTGTACTTCTGCAGCTGATCCACCAGCTCCTCGATGTGCTTTGGATTGCCTGCAGGCAATTAATGTAACATTGAAATGAGGGAGGCGTGGAGTTGGTGGAACATGAGCCTGTCATCACGAAGAGGAATATAAATGGTGCAATAAAGCAGGTTCCATGCATACAAACACGCACGCACAACACACACATAGACACAGACACATAGATGCACGCACACACACACATGGACACACGTAGACTCAGATACATGCACGCATGCAGGCGTACCTGCTGCCATGTCGTCAAAGTACTGGACAAGCATGGGTGGCAAGGGATAGGCGTCGTTGGCATTGAGTTGGCGCCGAAGATACGCCCTGCGTGCTCCCGCATTGAGGGGGCGGAGGTGCATGAGCATGCCGCGTGCTCTTGCGTCACGCACCATCTCCACCAACTCCATTGGAGAGTCGTACACCAGCGAGCGTGTGGCAATGAGGAGGAAGAGGCGGTACTTGTGCGTCTGCCAAACCATTACGGTTAGGGAATTGTGAGAACGGTGCACGTGGGGTGGTGAAGGTGTGTGTGTGTGTGTGTGTGTGTGTGTGTGTGTGTGTGTGTGTGTGTGTGTGTGTGTGTGTGTGTGTAGGCAGGTGAACAAGGGGGAAGTACAGCGTGTTGTCGCCATAAAATGGGAGGTACGCGAATAAGTATGGCAGCGTGCGTGCAATTAAAGAACCGACGCACACACACTTTCACACACACGCAGATACATTTCACTCACCGTGCTTTGGCGTTGGACGCAGAGACGCGAAAGATGGTTGGCGAGGGTCCATGAGCCAGGCTCGTTTGGGCGCTTGTCTGTGCCTGTCTGCAGGTGCAGCACAATCATGACGTCATCCAGCTCCGAAAACGCTTCAATCAGGCGCCGAATCAAATCTTTCATGCGCGGCACGCGCTGCTCTTGCGTCAGTGTCCTGCATGTATGTGTGTGTGTGTGTATGTGTGTGTATGTGTGTGTGTGTGTGTGTGTGTGTGTGTGTGTGTGTGTGTGTGTGTGTGTGTGTGTGTGTGTGTGTGTGTGT